ACACGGGGGGAGAAGAAGAGGAGAACACGAGGGGTGGGAGATGAGAACGTAGGGGAGGGAGAGACCACTAAAGGAGGGAGGGGGCGGTGGAGAGACCACTAGGGGAGGGGTGTGAGGAGAGACCGCTAAGGGAGGGGGGTGGAGGATAGACCACTAGGGGAGGGTGGGGGGAGGGGAGAGACCACTAATGGAAAGGGGGGCAGAGGAGAGCAGAGACCACTAAAGGGGAGACGAGAGACCACTAATGGAAAGTCGGGGAGAAAAGGAGACCACTAAGGGAGGTGGGGGGGAGAGGAGAGACCACTAAGGGGCAGGGGAGATCTGAAGGGAGAGCTCTATAGGACAGGGGGCAGGTCAGGGAGCTCTTCCACACCTCGCGCACACACACACACACACAATGCATCCCTATACACACAGAAACACAACATGCTTCCCTTACACACAGAGAAACACACAATGCAACCCTTACACATAAAGACAATGCATCCTTTGCACATATACACAGAAACACACAATGCATCCCTTACACACACATGCAACCACACACTGCTTCTCTTACACACACACAGAAACACAATGCATCTCTTACACACACTCAACACACCCCTTACAGACACACACACTGCATCCCTTACATACACAGGAACACACTGCATCCCTTACATACACAGAAACACACTTTGCATTCCTTATGCATACAAACACAGATTCACACAATGCATCCCTTACACACAACAAGAAACACTCAATACATCCCTTATACACAAACACTCACTGCTTTCTATTCCTTACACAAAAACACACTGCTTCCACTACACACAAACACACTGCATCACCTACACAAACTGGTATCCCTATACACTACATTCCATAAGCACACACATTAGATCCTCTACAATAACACATAACACATCCCCATCACACTCCATTCCCTGTGAGCGAACTCATGGGTGGAACATGTAGGTGGACTTATGGGTGGGCTTTATGGGCATACTCACCGTCAGGCCCTGGGGCCCAGACCTTGAGCTATGTAAGAGGCCCCAAAAAATGGAGCTGCTTCCCGTTCACCCAGAACATTGAATTTTGTGACCACAGTTACAAACCGCCTCCAGAGAGCCTGTTCTACACCAGACCAGTGGAGCCAGACTGCAGCCAGAGCCCATCACCATCCTCATGTGATTGTAAGTAGGCAATCTAGTATATTATTCGTGGCACTAATCTCTAATTTACCTCACATTAAATGGACACTATAGTCCCCAGAACCACTGCAGCTTAATAAAGTTGTTCTGGTGTCTATAGCCGGTCCCTGCAGGCTTTTTAATGTAAACACACACTGTGTGCAGCACTGGCGTTAGTTCATATGGGGGAACCTTTCTTTTGCGTAGGGTGGCAAAAATCCTTGCACCGGCCCTGCGGCCACTCCATTAAGGTAAAACTATTTTGGTGCTTAGAGTTTTCCTTTAAGAGTTGGCAACAGGCTTTTTCATTTGAATACTCCTTTTGCTTTCTCCAAACGTAAACCCATCCAAATGTAGAAACTGGTTGTTGATCCTGTGTATATTACATCTTTGTGACGCACAAGACATAGGTGATACTATGTCACAGAGGTTTTCGTTCAGGTTTGGGGTAATTTTGAGGCTGTGTTTTAAAGGTTGAACTTAATTGACTTGAGTCTTTCTTCAACTTTGATCACTATTTTACCTTGTGCCTCTTTGGTATTTTGCAACTACACTTTGCAATCTCCGACTCTTTGCTGATACAGTTTGACATATGTGTCCTATGCTATTATTTATAGAGCGGCATTATATGTGTGGAAAGCTGTGAAATCATTCCTGAAACGTTGTAACAGCTTATCACGGGCAGCCTTCCATGTTTCTTTTAATATTTTCAATCAGATGATAATCAGAGAGACATAGTATGGTAACTTCAGTGGTAGCTGAATAAGATGACAGTTCCAAGTGAATGTTGGAAGGATACAGTTAGAACTGTTGCAATCGATGACACGTGTGCCTGTTCTGCTCCATGCAAGGACCCAGCACAGCTGCCAAAGAACACTTTCAAGTCTATTAACCTCCAGGATAGCACAAAACATTAAATTATTTTGCAGTTTATGTGATAAATGCATCTGCAATTCAGGTGCTTTCTTTTTTTTTTCTTCTTTTTTTTATGAACTTTTTATTGAGAGTGGGGCATTAATAGAGCACATATCAGACAGTACAAAAAGGAAGCAATCATACAGTGGATATTGAGAACATGACTTTCCTGATCAGGAAATTAAATTTTCATATGGTGTTTCAATGATTATATATCCAATTGTTTGTATGTGTATACTGCAGTAGAATAGCATCTTGAGAGCCGGTAACCTTAAACCACGGTTGGCCGGAAGGCAACCACCCAGCTGTTGGATAGTTGCCTAAATCTAGCAGTGACATTAACATTGGAGCTTTAATGATGCTGAACCCTGATGAATGCACTTTCATTATAGCATTGTTCAAACAAAGGTTTCTCTTTTTTATTAATGGATTTCAACAATGCACTACCATTCCAAGCTGGATAACAAGCAATTCACTTGCAATGATCATGCAAAATGGGGCTGCAGCCCTTTAGTTTCTACCAGGGAAGCACCATTCTGATACCAAACCCAAATGAGTCCAGTACATCTATAGACAAAAGTGACACATTGCTCAGCTTCCCAAAAAGTGTAAACATTCTGGGAAATGTGAGCCATTGACGTGATCTGGAAAGCTTTAGAATTGGACTGGAGATACTCAAGTTTGTTGAGCAGAACATCTGGTGGGAAGAAAACATCTGTATCTCAAACTGAGCGTGGTCATCCTTGGTGATGTGCCAAGGACGTCCGGCAAGCAGGGGATCACTGCCTCTTCTGATAAAGCTGGGAACTGTGTGAAGGGTGGATTGTTTACACATTTCAACCCTTCGCTGGGGCCAAAAAGTGTCCTTTGTGTTTTACCTTCTCAAACGACAAAGCAGTGCAGGGTGACCTGCTAAATAAACTGTACCCTGTGATAAACTGAAGGAATTCAAGGAACACTTCACGTTGGAGTTGGTTTTCCACTTTTCAGTACATTTTTGAATATATAAATAATAATAATAAATTAACAGTGGTATAAAATATACCACGAAATGCCTGTTGTTAAATATCAATCCCCATAAAGTGCAGATACCTGGGAACAGCTGAAAATTCATTCAGATCATTTGACTCCTTTTGTTTTCAGTGGGTGCACTTTCATAATATACAGGATATATAGTTCAGTAGTTGCAAGTACTTTCATTGATTACAAAAAAGAAACTCCTTGACCAGGCTATATATAATAGTCTCATTACAGCTACATTCATAGGATTTTGTTTCATCATGAAAGGATTTGTAGCCATGCATGTGCACAACTATTTAGCAATCTCTGTCATTGAAAACCATGAGAGAGCCTGTGCAAATTATAGCAAACCACTTCAACTATAATAGTTAGGATGATTGGCAGTAGATAGATGGAGCTCCGTGCCCTGTAACCTATACAAGGAGAGTGAGCGGTTATAGAAACATTTGGACAAGTGGATATACCTCATGTAGGCTTCTTCACTGAAGCAATTTAAATGTTTAGGCAAAAATAGCTAAATTGTTAAAACAAACAATCAAACTCGAACATATATTCAGCTTGGCGGTCTTTTCTTAAAGGTTTACTCCAAGCATCATTATCACTTCAATGTTTTGAAGTGATCATGGTGCCTGGAGTCTGTTTGTTTAGTGTTTCTCTACAAAACCCTTTTGCTACCGGATGTCTAACTCCGGCTGCGTTATTGAGGCATCATTATTCAGCATGGCAAAATGGCTAATGTCAATTTTGTGCATATTACCATGAACAGACGCTCATTCATTGGCTAAGAGCAAGCAGCTGATGCTCTCAGCCAATGAATGAGCCGCAGGATCTCCATCCGGCTTCTGTCGCTCTGCATGTCTCTCTTTCCCCTCTTGTATCTTATTGCCATGGCTTTGCCTTCCCTGGATCTGGATTATGATGTAATTTGCTAATTTTTAATATAGCATCTCATTAAAAGATAGGTTAGCACAAAATATAGGTAAATGTCAATGTTTTATTCAGTGTAAATACCAGACAATGCTATATTAATAATTAGATTAAGAATCACCAGAAATGCTCATTTTTAATCTATTCCTTTGATCAGAGGCGTAACTAGAAGCCACGGGGCACCAGTGTGAAAATTGCCCTGCCTCCCCCCCCAGGCCCTCCATATGTGTCATCTTCCCTTCCCCCCAGCCTCTCCATATGTCTCATCCTTCCCTCTCCCCCAGCCCGACCATGTGTCTCATCCTGCCCTCCCCCTCAGCCCCACCATGTGTCTCATCCTGCCCTACCCCCAGCCCCTCCATGTGTCTTATCCCACCTTTTCCCCCCAGCCCCTCAATGTGTCTCATCCTGCCCTCCCCCCCCCCTCCATGTGTCTTATCCCTCCTTCCCCCCCAGCCCCTCCACGTGTCTCATCCTTCCCTCTCCCCCAGCTCCTCCATGTGTCTCATTCTCAATTTTCTGATTAAAATTATACCACAGCCAGTTTGCCCACTAAACATATGCCAAGCCTGGTGCCCATTGAAAAATACTACGGTCAGTGTGCCCATTAATATCACAGCAAGTTTCCCAATTAATAAATACCACAGTCAGTGCACCCATTAATAAATATTACAGTCATTGTGCCCATTAATAAATATCACACGGATGCACAGAGACACACACACTGAAAAATAGAGACACGCAGTCTCAATGTGTATTGGGATTTGTGTATTTCTGAGTATGTCTGTGTCTGAGAGGGTGTGTCTGTCAGTGAGTTTGACAGTGAGTATCCTTGTTTTTGAATGCACGTCTCTGTGACCAGATGTAATTTTGTGTCTAGGGCCATATGTGTGTGGGTTGACTGCTTGCAGTGTGTATGGGGGGCTTCCTGTGGCCTTTGTGTATTGTGTTTATGGCAAAGCTATGTTTCATGACTGTGTGTGTATGATGACTGTCTTCAGGGGGTGACTGTGACAGGGTTTATAAACGGGTAATTGTGGCAAGGTAAGTGTGACAGGGCCAGAGGGGTGAATGAGGCAGGGTTGGGCGGGGAGTGTGACAGAGTGGTGTAGCATGGTTGGGGGATGAATGTGGCATGGTTGGAGGAGGGAGTGTCACAGGAGGAGGGTAGGTGAGCATGACAAGATTAAGGGAGGTTTATATGACAGGGTGAGTGTGGCATGGTTTGGGGGGGATGAGTTGGAGTGGTTATAGTGATATGGTGATGGAGAATGATTGTGACTGGGTTAAGGGACAAGTGTTAGAAGTATGAGAGAAGGTGGGTGTGATATGGTGAGTGTAGCAGAACAATGGGAGGTGAGTATGGCATGGGTGAATGACAAGATTGGCGGAATTATTGTGAGTGTTGTAGGGTGAAGGGGGTGACAGTGTGTGTGTGGGGTGACAGATACACAAACACACAGGTGCATACACTGGCATACCTGCCGATAAACAGACAAACACACACTGACATACAGTATCTCACAAAAGTGAGTACACCCCTCACATTTTTGTAAATATTTTAGGTGTGTTAAATTTGGTATTATTGCTCTCACACTCTCTCATACTGGTCACTGGATGTTCAACATGGCACCTCATGGCAAAGAACTCTCTAAGGATCTGAAAAAAAAAAATTGTTGCTCTACATAAAGATGGCCTAGGCTATAAGAAGATTGCCAAGACCGTGAAACTGAGCTGCAGCACGGTGGGCAAGACCATACAGCGGTTTCACAGTAGAGGGTCCACTCAGAACAGGCCTCACCATGGTCGACCAACGAAGTTGAGTGCACGTGCACAGCGTCATATCCAGAAGTTGGCTTTGGGAAATAGATGTATGAGTGCTGCCAGCATTGCTGCAGAGGATGAAGGGGTCAGCCTGTCAGTGCTCAGACCATACGCTGCACACTGCATCAGATTGGTCTGCATGGCTGTCGTCCCAGAAGGAAGCCTCTTCTAAAGATGATGCACAAGAAAGCCCGCAAACAGTTTGCTGAAGACACGCAGACTAAGGACATGGATTACTGGAACCATGTCCTGTAGTTCAAAGAGACCAAGCTAAACTTATTTGGTTCAGATGGTGTCAATATATATAAAAAATAGGGGATGATCTG